TTTGATGTAATGATAAACTAACAAGTTAATAAATCACTCGCTTTTCTTAACTTACGTATTAATTGTTTGGGTAAAATGGAAAGAAATAAACCTAAAATCTAAGTCTAATTTATTCTCACTAAACCTTTTTGTAAAGTAGAGATATTCCTCCATTAATGTAAATTATAATATCTCGTTATGTAATCTCCAAGAAACTCTATCTTCTTCAAGCCTAGAGAATATGACTAAAATAGGAAACAAGGCAGAAACTCACTTCCCTTTTTAACTCAAACTAATTAATCTCAAGAGCAATTGGAAAACTAATCAGTGTTGAAATTGAATCTCCATTTAATAAAGCAAGTAGAATTTTACCTACCCAAAGGCTTCAACCAATTTGAATTCTTTGGGAATGTATGCTCGAGCTTTCTCTGCTTTCACAAGATGGAGTTGATACCAGGCACTGATGATACATATATCAGAAACAGAACCAGTTAGTTAAACTTATACAAACAAAGACAGACCAAAACATAGTAACTACAGAAAACATGTTACACTTGCCTGCCTCTAAATACCCATGGAGGTTTGCCATATCCAGAAGAAGATCTTCCCTCAACAGCTTCCATATATGAACACTGAATGATAAATCGACAACCCAATTGAACAAAGCTGAAATCTGTCAGAAACAGATCAGAAATCGTGATAATCGATATCCACAGGTGAAAAACCAGTGTGAATTTCTGTTGGGTATGAGAATGAATGCATTAACATTAGGGAGGCAGAACTTACATGATTGAGTTTGGTGGGTGAAGAGATGAGTGAAAGAAGCAAAAGGGAAGGTGTGGTTATGGATGAAAACTGAAGAAATGGAAGATGGAGAAATGGTGAAAGAAGAGTGAGAGAAGAGGGTAAGGTGTGGTATGGTACAGAAATTATGATTGGATAAACAGAAATTCTTCATCCTGCGTGTCCTTTTGTATGGACATAAAACTACACTGGGACAAGGTTTGGCGCCAACAGAAAGTAAAAATACAAGGCAAAACTTTTTAGATGTGTAACTTTTCATTTTGGGTGCTGTTACTTTAATACCCACTAAATTATATTATTTTATTTTTAATTTAAAATCAATACATATTATTATATTATTATTGTTACAGAGGATTATAAAGTAAGTGTACTTTTTTAGAAGGGTTAAATATGTTTTTAGTTCCTAAATTATTGGCCGTTTCTGGTTTTCGTTCCTCTTTCAAAGTAAGGTACAATTTGGTCCTCATTCTTTTTGAAACGTTTGTTTTAGTCCTCGGAATTTTTTGGTTTTAGTCCTCATTTTGTTGCTAAACGAGGACTAAATTTTTAAACGGTGTTAGTTTTTTAGGACTAAAACGAACGTTTTCGAAAAAAATGAGGACCAAATTGTACCTTACTTTGAAATAGGGACAAAAACCAGAAACAGCCAATAGTTTA